AAGCGAGGGAGAGAAAGAGAAACAGAATAAAACCAGGAAGAGTTAAAAAACAGAATCTGGATCATCAGATCCCACTTATTGCCACATCTTTTCAAATGGCAAAATCTCTTAGAAGGCTATGTGTGAAGCATGCTGTTCTAAGGACAAAGCTGGGAGCCTTTTGCTATGTGGACAAGCCTGTTCTTGTGTTCTTCTGAGTAATGCACATGCCAGTAAAAAGGGATACTGTAGTGCTAACTTACCGTTAAAAGAACTTGGTAGCATGGCATGTGTGGTGTGGTGGAAATGACAAATTTTCTGCTGATGCTTGTTGCTGTAGACATATTGGTATCAGTGGAGCTGCAAGTATTTATATTAGCTAAAGGTCTTCACCATCATTTCTGGAGTGGCTGGTTTCTTGCAGAGTTTCAAGTGTTCTGTTTCTCAGCACCACGCAGGTTCCTATTTTATCTCCTCCTCGCTTGGGTGGAAATTCCTACAGGGGCTGTAATATTGGCGTGTTCAGTTTCCTACTTTTGTGAGCAAAAAGAAAATCTGCTTTTAAAAAGTTCACTGCTTTTTAATGAAAAAGTGTATTCCTACTTGTTCACTAAGAAAGGAAGTAGTTTGGGTGCAGAGAAGAATACTTCCTTTTTTGAGCAGAGATGTAAATTTACTCATGTTGACCAACGCACTGCATATGCAGGCATTTAATCTCTTGCACAGTTTTCCTCCTGTGAACAGTCATTTTGAAGCTGATTAAATTAATCCTATGAGTAAAGTTGGTACTACAGCTGATCCCAGGTGGCTATTCCTCTCTGACTGAACTTTTACACCCCCAAAATTAGAATATAAAATCCTTCAGAACACAGTTCCAGGATCAACTCATCTTAAAAAAAAAAAAAAAAAAAGTACTACCTAGAGTAGGCATTCTTAAAGTAAATATTCTTCCTCTTGATTGGAATAATAATAAGCTACAAGTATTTTGGATCTTCATGCACCTTCTAAGAGTTTTACTGCCACATTTTCCTGTTTTCTAAAGTACTTTTCTACTATGTTGTAGTTGTGCAAAAACAATGGGAAGCCTTGATTGTGCAAGAAGCTCCAGTCAGTTGGACCGTGCACCACCCACAACCCTGCTAAAGTCATTGCCTTTGAGAACAAAATTCTTAGCAGAACCGGGGCCTAAACATGCCAAGCACACAGGGGGCCCAAACTATTATTTTATGTAGATAGGTTATAAAATCTTCATTTTACTTCATTCCTGTCATCTCACTGACTTTTTGTAACAGCAGCAGCAAAAACATTTCCATCTGAATCTTTTTTTTTAAGTTGGAAAAGTAGCTGTGTAAGATTAGTGGCGTAGAACTGGACCCACTGTGTGGGCAAGGCTGAGAGTAAGAAAAACGTTCCCTATGTGGTCAGAGTGCCTAAGGAAAGCCTGGTTTAGTCTTTTGTGTCTCATTTTCTCCTCTTTATTGTACCCTAGAGCTGAATAAATATAGTAGGTTATGCCCTCAGCTGGAGTGAAAAAATGTAGGTGTCACTTCCTGGGAAGCGATGACTTCAGCGCAGGAGTGCAGGGGTCTGGGAATGCACATCAGATAAAACTGTAAATGTGTGTACGCAGCCTCTCTAAGTAAGTTGTTGTTCCCTCCACTGCTTTACACTTTGGTGCCTATTGCTCCAGACTTTGGAAAGTTTATGCACAATAACCTGTATGCTTGAGTAAGTTAGCGTGTCCAGAGGTGGTCATCGGCTGGACAGCTGTCTGGATGAACACCTACAAGAGCCTGATGGCTCTTCTATCATCCTCACATGCTATGAAGCTCACAGTTCTTTTTGTAATAAAGAAATAGTCCCTGTAGTCCCTTTCTCAGTGTAACCCTGAAAAAGAGGAGGGAGGAACACAGGATGCTGTCAAGAGCGAGCTCTTTGCTGTCCTCTGCAAAAGATCCAGCGTTTCCTGCACATCGCTGTGGTTTTTACAGCTTGCTGGAGCTGGGCAGGCGGAAGGGTGTGCTGGAAGGATTAGTCTGTGCTGGCTGGGAGAAGTGGAGAATGCTGGTGTCAGAGAAGCTCCGTCCAGATAACGGTGGTTGGGTTCAATGCATTCAGTCTGTGTTGAACACTGTGGAAAGAACACTGGTGAAATGACCATTGACTTTCCAAGTTCTTCTTACTGTTGAGTCCTGATCGTTGATCATTAATAGAAGTGTGAGGATTCCCTAAAGGTTTGTTTTTCCACTTTTGTGTTCACTTTGTCTTCTTTGTCTTCATTTTCCTTGGAGGTAGTCTTGAATGACAGTTCGAACTCTGAGAGTTTCCAGTTTTAGAGTGGTTCAAACTCCTAACCTAGATCCAGATGCAAGTTTTCTTAATCACTTCTCTACAATAGCTAACAGTACGTGTAGACAGTGCTTGGTCCCATGCTTGGAACCTGGTCACTTTGCTAACTTTACTTTTTAAGTACTTTTTGTATATTGCTGCTGTCGAGTTAAACAAGTCTTTCCTCTTCTGGTTTTGGTTTTGCCTTTTTTAGTATTCTTCATTTCTTTTCTCCTCCAGTATTTGCAGTCCGCTTGGGTCTCTACCTCTGCCTGATGCTGTTGTCCTCATTAACAGTTTCTGTCATCCAGTTTATGTAAGGCTCCAGTCGGTTGCACAATCTATCTACACATAGTATTTTCTATTTATTTGTAGTGGTCTTACAGTCTGTAGCTACTGACATCCCAAAAGTAGAAGGATAATTAACAGCTCTCAACAGTTCCCTTTTAGGGCTTTAGCATTTGCTCTTTCTTTAGACTTCAGTGCATTTTTGGTTCAAGTCTTGTAATGGTCAGACCAGGCATTAAATCAGGTTGACATTTTGCCTGTTTGAGAGAAGTACTTCATCTCCCTAGAATATTTTGGATTTTATCAATTTAGATAACAGTATCTTAGTTTGCATAACTCCTATATACTCAATCTGCATATGTTGTTTTTAAGGAAGTAATGGATGAGTGTGTATTGGAGGAAGTAACGGATGTATTATTGGTGCTATTGCTTAGTATACATGATCAAACCTACAAAAACTTTGAGTTTTACTTATTCTTTAAAGGACTTTGATGCTAGCATTTGAAATTAAGGTTTTTTGTTCCTCTCCATGAAACAGTTTACTCTTTTAAGGGGAAAAAAAAAAGAAAGAAAAAGGGTTCAATATGAAATTGAGTCTTTCAAAGAAGTCTAGTGGGTTTTTAAAGCATTTTGTCTGGACAAAGATAAGAAATATCTAAGCATATTTACGTTGTGCCTTTTTAATTACATTAAAAATGTTCTTCAGGCTTTTTGTGGCGAATTATTTTTGGCCTTTTTATTATATTAAAATATTGTATAAAGTATATTGAATTGAAACTCAATTCTATAACATATATAGGTAAAAGGTCTATCTTGTCATATGTTATAATGCATACATAAAATACTGTGTAAATAACAGAAAGAAAATAGTTAAATATTGGCAAACCAAAATATTCTGAAGATCTGCACTCTAAATGTTTTTTCCCGGTTTTTCATTGCATGCAAAGAAAAAAAAATAAAAGGAAGTTATGCATTTTGTTTTCATTTCTAGCAAAATCATATTCTGATATGTCAGCATTCTTTGTGAAATGGAAAGTTTGTTTTTGATAAACTCTGTGGTCGGCCAAGATTATTTATGATAGATTTATTCTGCTTTATTGCCTAGAGATCTACCGGAGGAGCAATTGATTCTCATTAATATATAAATAAGTAATATGTAATACAAATATAAAAGAGCATTACTCCATTTAATTCAGAGAAATCAGTCCAAATTTATGTCACCGAGACATCAGTATCTGAGTTTAAAGAGAGTTTTGGTAACCATGCAATGTTTTTACTTGTAGTATTCTTGCCATTAGCAGTGAACTAAACCAGTGTCGGGAAATGAAATTCATTCTGTGGTGTCGATTACCTGAAAAGGTCTTGGGGAGTGAAATCTGTTGAATGATGCTTTAATTTGCAAGAAGTATGTGGGTTTTAGCTGATGAAGAACATCACCCTTTTTTTTTATTTAACATAGGCTATCCTGTAATTTTCACTGATTATGTAAAGCGTTTTGAATTGTAAGTAAAAAAATTGCCTATTGGCAGCGATGAGATAGAGTTGGAAAAACCAAAGGGCATCTCTACCCACTCAAATATTTCAAACTCATGTCACCTTGTTAAGGCATGCATATTTACGTCACTGTAGATGCTTTTATATTTTTTGATACTGAGCCTTTTGACCTTTGGGAGTGTTGAACTATTCCTTCATTGGCTATGAACCTGGCTTCACACTGAGAATTTCTGGCAGCTGTGCTTAATACGGACAAAAACGGGTGATTGCTAGGAGTGATTATTGCAATATTTATGCCATTGCTGCAAACAGTCTGTGCATGTATCTGCACGTCTGTGTGTGTTACGCTTTTCACTCTGCTTTAATATCGCTGAAAGAGCTAAGACATTATTTGAATTGCTTTGGGGCCAGCTGAGGAACAGGACAAGAAGGGAAACTAGAGTATGGAAAAAACCCACCCCCCCTAGTAAAATGTCAACCCATCTTCTTACTCTGCTCCCGATGATTAATAGCAAAGGCAGATGTCGTACAGACAATAATGATCTGACCAAAACCTGATTAAAATCAAGGAGTTTTTTTCACAATCTTTGGGTTGGACAGCATTTCATAGGAGGTTAACGTTTTGTAAAGTTTTGGTGCGGTATTTTACATTTGCAGCAAGGTCTTTGTGTCACTGCTTTCTGTGAAAATAAACTGGTTATAATGTAAAGTTGCAGCTTTCAGCAAAGGGTTTCCCTCACTCTGCTGAGGTTTGGGGTGAAGTTAGCTAGGGTCGTAAAGTTCAGAAGAATATGGTGAGTCTAGCCTTGTTGGTTTTAGGGCACACATGGCTGATTTGCTTAGTTTTGGCTGGGTGGTCTGAAACACTGGTAGAAACTAATGATTCTGTTTGTAACTTTTGTTTATTGCAGGCTGCAAACAGTTACCTGAGGGATCAGTGGTTCCATTCTTTGCAGTGGAAGGTAAGTTCTGCACTTCATGTCTTCCTTGTCTGCCTCTAAGAATACTTTTAAGCATTCCCTATTCCTTCCATTGTAAGAGCCCTGAATGGATAAAATCTTTTTCTTACAGAAACCCTAAATCAGAACATGTATGCAGGTTCATATCGTGAATGAAGTGGACAAATTAACTTGTTACATAGCCCAGCTTTATCAACATGTGATTGGCTTCAAAAAGTAGACAGCCAGTAAATTCACATTTAAACAGTATAGAGATTGGGTGGTTTTGGTGTTGTACTGGGAAGTGTAATACGTTACAGAATGACTGCAGCCTAATCATATGCTCTGGACTCTTGGGATACTTGGGTTATTTGTTTGTTTGTTTCTTTTTCTGAGAAACTAGGGAGAAAGGGTGTCTTTTAGAGTTGCTTATTTTAAGTATCATCAATCTGTTATGCATCAGTCCATGTTTATGATTTAGGATGATTTGGATTTAAAGGCAGTTTCCATTTCAGAGGTCTTGAACCCTTTCTCATTTTCAGTGGGAACAATGGACTGGTTGCACTCAGTAGGGGAAGTGGATCACAGTGATAACTTTGTCTCTCAAAAGCAGCACATTCCTTATCAAAAACTGTAGCTGCTGACCTTTGGATGGAATCTGTATGGATCTTTGATGAAGCTGGAAACGAGTTTTGGCCAGATGCTGAATATGGTTGTCCTCTCTTGTCTTGCGGTGGGAAATACAAGCAGTAGCCTTTCAGCTCAGGACTTGTCTTCAGCAGGGTTTCAGTAAAGTCAGCCAGGTTGGCTGTGTAGCTTATCAAGGTTTCAGCTTGCTGACAGCAACCACATGTGAAAATATAAGGAAGTCCCTCCCACCAAACTGGTTTTGTTGTAGGTGTGTTTGATAGTTGCAAAATAGTTGTGAGGCAAGACTACAGTATTGCTGTGCTTTGTATAGCCATCGGTGTCTGGCAGAATCATATTCTGAGCGGATCCAGGTTCTTATCAGTAAGAGCCAAGTGTCGAGATCTCCTTTTCCAGACCACTGGCATATTCTCCCGTCTGTTACCCTGATTGCCTAAATGAGCGTGGGACAGTAGCGCTGATAGCAGAAGGCTGGGCTGTGGTGTGGCACTTTATTTTGGCCTCTTGACAGTATCATTAACACAATGCCTAGCCAGTCTTGCTTTCTTTGCAACTCCTGAGGGTAACAAAGAGCTTAAAGCATGCAGAGACAGTATCTCCATATGGTTGTTATTTTCCCTCCTGCTTTGGCAGGCAAGGATGATCAGAGAAAGCATGGACAGAAATGATGGTGGAATTTCTTTTTCCACCTCGCCCCCAACCAGGATGGCTGTGGTACTAACGTACCGGTGGCATGTACCCACTTTGCTCCTGCAGTGAGGGGAAAATCAAGGTTGGCAGTGCAACTCTGGAAAAAAAAGTAAGGAGTCTTAAAGGTGCAACCTGGCCCCACCACGACCAACCACCCCATCAATTAAATTATGGAAAAAAAAAAAAGTCTCAACAGAATGACCTGGCTTGCTCACATGCCTTTTGGTCATGGAGAGGGAGCTTTGCTCTGTAGGAGTTGTTTTTAAAGGAGTATTTCTTAAACTTTCCAATGCTTCTGACCAAGCCTCTCATTTTGGGAAACTCTGAGTAATTCAACTTGTTGCAAAGTAGAATTTATTTTTGCTTCCTTGCTTCCCTCCCCACCCCCATTAAGTCAGTTTCTGAAAAACAAGTGAAACATTATCTTGATTTGAAAGACTTTTCCCTTTTAGAATAGCAAGTAGCTTTTTCCCATCAGAACAGTGATAGAGTTTAGTCACTGCCCAGGTACTTTACACTAACAAATTCCTCTTCGCTAAAATGGAGATAGTTTTGCTGGATTTTGTTGCTTAATAGTTCAGAGGAAGAGCACCTGGTAACTTTCTGCTCTTTACTTTGGTTGACTTTTGGCAGGTTTAAGTGGTATCGCAACAGAACTAAGAGGCACGGCAAGCGGTATATCTAGAAGGAGAGTGGAGGAGTGCAGTTATGTGGTCTACCTTAGTGAAGTTTCTCACTTCACTAGCGCTATAGCCTATGACTTTAAAAGCCAGTTGCCAAGGTTCATCTCACACCATAATTTGTATGGTTTGATGATTAAGCAGGTAGTGAGGGAGCACACAAAAAAACAGGAAGCCTGTTCTTCTGGAATGGGTCATTTACACAAAGCACCAGCTGGCAGAGAGATCGCCGCAGCTGTATTATAATTGGGTGGTTGTGCTGATGAATGATATATTTGTCCAGTGGTCTTATGAATAATAAGTCAAAACATTTCTGCGGGCATGTAGAACACAGATGCAAACTGGTGCAGATAGCTGAAGCAGTTATTCAGGGGAAAACATTCAACAGAGATGAGCTTGTTATTGTTTGTGCTTGTGTGGTGGAATCATTTAGGGGGTCTAGCTGAACCCAGAGCCCCACTGTACTAGGTACTAGGTGTAGGTGGACCAGGAGACCTTCACTTCCCCTACCCTGCCCAAACAAGGCTGGAGGAACCCATTTTACAGATGGCAAACTGATAGTCTGTGAGTTTCCAGCAGTGGGGATTGCCGCTCCTTGAATTAGAGTTGTGGGAGCAGATTCCTAATGTCAGTGTCCTTCTGGCTCCTTTTCCTGTGCTTCGAGCCTTGGGAGTCAGATGCTGCATGTAATCTGAGCTACTTGGAAAATGGTTAGGTCCAGTGAATAGCTGGGTTGTTAAATATTTGGGGAAGCTCTTTAGGTTCAGGCACATATTGGTTATCCTTTGGTCCTGTATGAAGGTGCTAAGGTCTGTGAGAGCGCTTTTTTGTGGTGCAGTTTTAAGGATTAACACGCTGTGGGAATTCAATTTGCCAGCTAGCACTCTGGAAATAATTTTTGTTCTAGAGGCAAACATTGAAATAAAAATCAAGAATAATTTCTTTCTGCAGCCCAGAGAATAATAAAAGAGATGCTACAGATAAACAGAAGTAAAAGAAAACCAAACACGTAATTATCCATGTTTTAGATCCAGCTCCAAGAGGTTTTATGTGTCATCCAACTAACTAGCTGTCAAGATGCTTACACAGCTTTTTAGGTGCAACTTTCTCCTTGAATACTGCGCTCATGGATGTAAGGACACACTGTTCCTTATGTAGTCATTTTCTCTTTAAGTTTTCCATTTCAAACCCTCCCACTAGGGGTTACTCCTAATTCCTCATTTCATCTGAATATCAGTGTGTATCACAACTCCTAAAGGTTTATTGGGCACCTCAACCTATTTTTAGAAATCCTGATTTCCTTCAGGTTATACCTAAGCCAAGCTATCTTTGTCCAGAGAATAAACAGAACATGTTAACAACGGTCCAGATCCTCACAATTAAACAAATCATTAATCCATTGTGTAAGGAATGTTCCTTTCAACCAAGGAGGTTGGATTGAAAGCATGATATGTAATCTTTGGTATTTGGAAGCTGATAAGTCATAACAGCATATCAATAAAGATAACACCACTTTCTGTGAATATACAAAAGATAACAACACGTGCAGTTCTTTGCCCTTTCTGGATCTAGGCTAGATACAGTGGTAACCAACCATTTCTGTAAGGGATGAATACTGCTAAGCTTGGCTTTGAGGGGTACTGTGACTAGTAATTTTGGGACACACGCAAATAAGCAAACATGTACCCTTGGCATTTTCCCAGACAGCATCCGTCTACTTTGTTGCTTGTTTATATCTTGCCATCTTTGGGCTAAAGACTTTCTGTGTATTTGTGTAGTGCCAAGCACACAGAGGTACCATCCTCTGTAGAAAATGTTGAGCCCTACTATTAAAGTATTAGTCATTAAATGACCCACTTGAGTAACTTAGTACCATGTTGCCGTTGAATTAAAAAAGGCCCCAGTGAGGTCTTCTCCAGGGGTCTTTAGGTCTTCTCTTGTGGTACGGAGTACAGGTATAGATTTACATTTGTTGGGAGGAATGCCCTTAAAGGTTACACAGGACATGTTGCATTTTTTAACATGCTTCATAGTAAACTCTGAACACTGCCCTCATTGCGGGTTGCTTGTGTTTTCTGGTTAGCTGAATGATGCAGCAATGTCAGTTGACAGCCTTTGGGGGAATGTCCTGAATTGACACAATACAGAAAGAACAGACCTAAGTCTGCAGTAAAGCATGAAGCATGACTCAAGCTGAGCTTTGTGCGCCTCTGACCTGGATCTTCTAGAAAGGCTTGCCTGTACCTTGTTTTTCCTACTGATGCTACTAACTGGTCCTCAACTGTCCCCTAATGAGTAGTGCTGCTTGGGTAGGGGTTTTACCCATCTGTTAGCACAGACAATGCAAATGTGTTAATTGTAGAATTGTTTAGCTTGGAAGGGACCTTTGAACATCATCTGACCTTCTCCCCACCCACGCCGCCCTTTTCCTCACAATGCAGGGTATACTTTGAAGTTGTACGAGGTTGCCGGGAGCTTGTGCAACCAAGCTGTGAATCCCCAAACCGGGCACGGTATTCACCTGTGGTCTCACAAGTACTGAGCAGAGCGGAGCAGTCACCTCCCTCATCCCTCTGTCTGCGCTTGTGCTTGTGCAGCCCAGCATGCGTATGCACCCCTGACCTGCAGTTAGCAATCACATTACTGTTTTAAAATTAATTTTCTACACAGACTCCATGTTTTGATTCCCATGAATTGGGAAACTGGAACAATGCTGTCATTTGGGATTTGCAAACATTTTGCATTGAATGCTAAAACAAGTAATGTTGGCCTTCATTCAAAAACTTTAATTTTGGATTAATACTTCCCTGGTTCTCATAGGGATTGTCTTCAGGAAATAGACACTTCCATGCACAAGCAGCCCTGTTAATTGCAAAAGGATGGACTGTCATATAAAGTCATACTTGACCTGAATGACTATGCTTTCTGGTCTTTACTGCGTCCAGGTTATGAATTCCTTGTCCATTAGTACCGAATATTTTTAATACAATAGCTGTGGATGAGTAT